CTCTGCCTCTCCCTCTCCCTGTATCTGTCTCTGCCTCTCAGATCTCTGTCTCCATCTCTCCCTGTATTTCTGCCTCTCAGATCTCTGTCTCCGCCTCTCCCCATATCTCTGCCTCTCAGATCTGTCTCTGCCTCTCCCTCGTCTCTTGGGTCTCCCCACCTGCAGCTCCACACCGCAGCCTGTCTCACCCCACACCCTTGCCGATGTGGGACCACACTCCGTGCCCAAGGACGCGATGCCAGGTGACAAGCTGGGGTGGCACTATGGGCCCAGGACACCCGTGCACCCTCCATGCCGGTTCTCGGCCTCCCGCACCGCGGTGACTCACCAGCCCAGGCGGGCAGTTTCCCAGAAGCACTGGCGGCCACCGAGCGCGGCTGGGGCCCCCCAACCACAGGCCACATGCCAGTCCCCTTCCGGCCGTTGGTAAGGGGGGCCGTGCCTCACCCTCGAGTGGGACGGGGTCCGCAGCCGCCATGGAGCGCAGGGCGGGAGGCCGGGGCGGCCTGCTGCTGGCCGTGGTCGCTGCCCTGATGCTGCCCATGAGGCCCCCAGGTGAGGACCCCGGGTCCACTTGGAGCTGTCGGGACCCGTCTCCTCTGTGTCTCTGCACACCTCTTCTCCTTGTCCCCAACCGTCTGTGCCTGCCCTTCTCCCCTGCCCAGCACCCCCACCCAGTCCCAAAGCTGCCCACCTTTGCTTACCTCCTGCCCTCGTCCCTGACACGCCACGGCCCCGCAGGCTCCTGGGGGACCCGGATCATTGGGGGCCGCGAGGCGAGCCCCCACTCCCGGCCCTACATGGCGTCCGTGAGCTTCGGGGGACGGCCCCTGTGCGGGGGCTTCCTGGTCCGAGCCCACTGGGTGCTGTCTGCCGCCCACTGCTTTAGGGACAGGTGAGCCTGACTTGGGGGCCGCTGCGGGAGGGGGTTCCAGGTGACAGGACCTGGGAGGGGCGCAGAGAATCTGGGGAGGTCAGAGTGCCTGTGGCAGGGGCTGTCTCCTGGGGCGAGCGGTTC